TAAATTTAACAACTTTTATAATACACTCTATAAATCACAACGATTCACAATCTCGATAACTTCGCTCTCGACGAGTACAAAACACACTTTATATTATCCGAAAAACCGTAACTACTGTTCGCTTAACTGTCATACAATCATCATTGTAGGCTTTCTCTGCCAGGCTTATATACTAACAAAGAGGCATCTTCCAATCACACTCGAGCTTCCCTGAAAATTTGAGAAACTCAGTCACGCATGCACTAGCAGCGTCATTTGATTTCTGCTGTCGTAACAGTATTGTTACGTATCTGCTTGTTTGATAATTTCTCGTAAAACTTCTTTCCTAGAAACTTCAGCGATACAAGTCCTTTCTTAATTAAAACTAGTTTATTCTTTCTTGTTACAAACCTTGTAATACACTTAATTTCCACAGTCACTTTAACTTAAACGCACGCTATAATTGACAACGATTCACGCATTTTACTTATGGTCACTACCGCTCACTTGACTCAATTATCTGTCTCTATCTGCTATCCAATTAATTATCTCGCTTTATTTGCCGCGCTTATATACAAGAATAGAGGGCGTCTAGAATGCACTCGCCTCTTCATGAACCTTCTAGACACTTATCACGTGTTACCAGCAGCACGTGACATCTGCTGTCGTAACAGTATATTTATTCGGAATGTTTAGGATACGTAAGATATTAATTCACATTGAAACCAAGTCTGTTAAAGAAAATTAATTCTGTGGAAGTTTTCCTCTTTCATCTGCCAAAGTTCATGGTCTGTCATTGTTTTGTGTGTGTTGGGCAAAGATCTTTGGCTCTTTTGTGGTGTTCTTTTAGAAACTGACTACGTAAACCAAATTTGGATCAAGTTAAGTAAAAAGTATGTTTGGGTGTTCAGTGAATAAACTTAATTGAAATAATTCTTGGAATGTGAGTGTTGGTATTTGTAATGTTCAGTTCCATAAATAGAATAAATATACACTAACTGCCTGTTTGTCATGAAACTAAAAAAATCACCATGGTTGATTAGCTTTTACTGCCTGTTCATTATAGTTGTGATTCCATCTTGTAGAATAGTATAACTTTCAAGAATATACCATCTTTACTGTTTGTGTACTCCATCTACAATATTTATCATTATTTTAAACTGGTTTACATAACTTGAATTTTTGTATAAAATTTACACTAATTCTAATATTGACTTTTTCACTCATAATTACTACAATTCTGTACAGACTATGAAACAGTACAGTTATGTTCCAACTTAAAATCCTTATGGAATGATAAGCACTATAGTAGTACACAACTATAAAACAAGTTGTTTCTTATTTGTATTTAATATTTCATACAACTTAATGTTAAATCAGTCAGATGTTTATCATAATGTGTAAGTTAGCTGACAATTAATGAAATGATGATAATCAAACTGTTTGTTTTTGAGGCAAACTAATTCTATCCCATTATATAAGTGTATAGAACTAATTATACAATGTTTTACTGATATTTTTAGGAATTTCAATGTATTATTAAAATTTTTGATTTAATCCAAACATCTGTCGGTTACTTTCACACTGGTTTTTGAAAGGGGTTTGTTACTCAAGCAGAAGTACATTGCATACAACCACTGCTAAGGTTTGTTATGATTTTGACTAAACTAAATTAGAATGGTGATCATTTCAGGTAACAAATTAAACTTAGCTCTACATGAAAGTTGCTGTTATTGGAACACCACAGTTCTAATTTTTGAACCCTTAAACCTTTTATTAATCCTGTAAATTAAAATTGAAGGTGATTGGACAATTATAGTAACTGAACTGAGTTGTTATAAATAATGGGAAAACATTTATAACTTATAATTTTAGTTTTATTATTTCGCAGTATTGGTTTTGACACTTTCAAACTTCTCTTGTTATTTGACTGGTTGTATAAAACAAAAATTAATAGATTTTTACTGATTTTTAGTTTTAAGGATTACCATTGTCATTAAGTTTGATTGTTTTAAGTCCTTAGATATAAAAATCTTATTAAAAATTCATGAGAAAAACTTGATACATCTTCTTATTGTAGAAATAAAGTAAATGTATTTAGGTTTCAGAAAACAAAATTTGATAATTGTTCTTTTTATTTTAGCAGATATTACTTTAACTAGTATTTTAATTGTGTTCTATAAATTATCTACCAACGTGAGTAAAATATTTTTGAACAGGGTCGTGTCTGAAGACCAGCGCTCATCCCAACAACAGCCGATCCAGAAAGAAGTTATTGCCTTTGTAAGATTAGAACCAACTTGTAAGCATAGTTTGCATATTGCGGTTACCCAGCTAGGGGGAATAGCAGTCTTCATCTTTCTTCTTGCAAGAGTAAGTTTTCAATAATGTTTTGTAGGTTAGTTTATACTACAGAAATTGGCATAAAATAATTTCAAGAAAAGTTGCACATTATTTCACTAGTATTGTGATAGAATTTATCGTTATAAAATAACTATAATCCCAAAATTGTTTAGCAGATATCTTGGCTTTAAGAATGATTGTAAACAGATACATTTTTCTACAGGGTTGATTATATTAAAACAATTTCAAATATGCAAGTTACTTGACAACCACAGCCTAAATAGAATTTTGTTGGAATGGCATGCATCATAACTACATTTTGACATTACTCTGTATTTGGTGGGCAGTATGATGGTAATGTACATTAATTGCTTTGAGGAAGGGAATGTAGTGGCCCTTTCTGAAGTAAAATATTCGTGGATGTTGATTGTTCGGATTGGAAATGTAGAATTTTCAAAAAGGGAAAACACCTTGTACTTAAGAGCTTTGGTAAACAAAGGAATCAACTTTGGAACCATACCCAAGCTGTAACAGATAGAAATCCACGAAGACAAAAGTCAGTGGTAAAAGCCATTTATTGACCTAGGCAACAGTAAGCAACATAATCAAGAAGAATCTCCAAAATATGAGGGCAATAGGATGTGGGTTCACAAAGATAAGGCTTTCCAGTTGTATCTCCCATTCAACTGTCTCGTACCTTAAGCAGCTGGAGAATGAAATTGGTATTTGTGGTATTCTAAGGAGGATGTTCATTTTGACATTACTTGGTATATGATAAGCAATGTAATGCCAATGAAAATTGATTGCTTTTAGAAAGGGTGTGTTACAGTCCTTTCATAAGCAAAATATTTATGCACTTTGATCATAAGGGTGTGTTCAAATGTATTAGTCAAGTTGCTGGATTCATTGCCTATGGAATATGGTATGATCAGTGTGAAATGGGTGCAGGAAACTGTCTGTGTATGCTAAATGAATTATGGAAAGCATAGAATGTAGAGTGGTGTGCTTAGGGCATGACAACTTTATATTTTATTATAGTGTACCCAACCTTTTGTTTAATCAGTGCAACATTTAAGTGTAAAGGTATATCTTGCATTTTATTGTTTATTATTCATTTCAGATGGTCGAGGTTTCTGATGATGAGGCTACACATGCTGCGGCCCTGAAGTTACTTCTTCAAACAGTCTCAAAACATCAATGTTATAGAAAACAGTTTTGTGATATTGATGGAATGCAGCTTCTAAAAAGAGTATTGTCAAGCAGGAAATGTAAAACTGGGTATCTCATGTTGCATGTTAGTATTTCACAGAAATTTCTTATTAACTGTTATGATGTCTCTGAATAATGGTATAAGGGCCAACATGATAAGCTATGTAATAAACTGCCTTATAGAAAAATATTAAAATTAAAATGTAGCGTGTTAGAAGAGTAAAGGAAAGAGATGAAGGCTGGGTTATAAGTTTAAGTAAAAATATTTTTATAACAATCATGAACAGTACACTTGTCTGTGTATGTTTTATCACTGTGAAAGAGAAGGACAAGATTAAAATAAACACTTCCCATACAGAGCTGTAATTGGTGAGGTGGGGGGGGCATCTTTTACCCAGTGTTAGGTAGATAGTCACTAGAGTTACTAAAACAAAATACATATACTCAGAATCAGGGTTCAACCTTTGTAGCAGACACAGGAAGATAGCCCCCATTATGTGTATTTACAGTAAAACAAAATCACTGTAAGCCATCAAAATGTTATCAGTAGAATGAGTGAGGTTCTTACAGTTTCATGTTACTTCACTGTGAGAACTTTTCCACAGGAGTTTGAATAAATACCAGTGTCTACATAAAAGCACAATTTGTTTTGACTTTTAGTTATAAGGAAATATTAACACTTTTGTGTTCAGTATAGTAAATACGATATATATATATAACAATACTTAACTCTCTCAGCACAGGCTTGGTCGAATTGACCGACCACGTGACCACTTTTCACTTGTTAAAGTTTTGATACTACTAACTTTTAATATAGTATGAGTATCTTTACAAAATTTGGCAGACTTTCAGACTTTTTTTTTTAGTGAAGTATTTTAATAAAGATTTGTCTGTGAATATATCAAGCATTTTTTTCTAGTCATGCAGCACGTTACATTAATGTTATAAGTTGTAAAACACTTGGAGAACATACAGCTCACGTTACATTAATGTGATAAGTTGTAAATCACTTAGAGAACATGTAGCTCACGTTACATTAATGTTATAAGTTGTAAAACACTTGGAGAACATACAGCTCACGTTACATTAATGTTATAAGTTGTAAAACACTTGGAGAACATACAGCTCACGTTACATTAATGTAATAAGTTGTAAAACACTTGGAGAATATGTAGCTCACATTACACTAATGTTATAAGTTGTAAAACACTTGGAGAACATGCAGCTCACGTTACATTAATGTTATAAGTTGTAAAACACTCGGAGAACATGCAGATCACGTTACACTAATGTTATAAGTTGTAAATCACTCGGAGAACATGCAGATCACGTTACACTAATGTTATAAGTTGTAAATCACTTGGAGAACATGCAGCTCACGTTACACTAATGTTATAAGTTGTAAAACACTTGGAGAACATGCAGCTCACATTGCACTAATCAATTACATTATGTATGAGCTACAAGCGAGAGTACCCCGTGAAATATTTTATTATATTACTTATTTCACCTAATCTAACTTTAACTCACAAGTTTCTTATTTTTACAATTTAGTCACTTTTGTAACAAATAAAGAATACAAAGAAAAACAAGAAATATATTACTTACCTGGGTATGTTTTTCCATCCACTGTCGATAACATTTAACCCTATTTTTTATATTAATGGTTGTGCTGCACTATATAATTTTTTTTTAAATTAAATAATACATTAAAGAACACAGAATAATAATTTGCAAAAAGCAGACAATGTCCCACAACTGTTGCAATTTTTCTGACTATGCGACAAGAGCTGTTAAAACTCCATCTAAACTTGTTGATGTGTTTCCCACAGGAATCAACCTTGAAATGGAAATGAAATTCACAGTTCTCTTTACTGAAAATAATATGATAATATATGTTTTTTGATAGATGAAAACCTTTGCTTTCTATTGGTTATAAATCATATAGTTTTGAATGGCAGAGAGAACTATTGTAAGTTTCTGAAAGAGAAGATGTGACAGCTGGTCATGGCAGGAGGGGTCTGGTTGTTTATTTCATGGATCTCTAACCAAATAAAATTGAAGGTTATAAGATATTAGCATTGCCTGAGCAGTGACAATATTATAATTGCATTAAATTTCGTACTTCTTGGAGGGGTGGTAAATAAATTGGAGAATATACAATGCCTAGAAAGCAAATGTCACAATTCTCAAGCTAGGGGAAATTCTAGATGTTTCTTTTTAATATTACCTTAAAATAAGAACTCAAAACTTGTATACTATTAAAATATAGAGTATTAGCAATGTTTTTATGCCATATTTAATGGTATACTAAAAAAAGGAAGTTTTAATTACATTTTGAATGTAACTCTCTAGAACCTCTTGATGTGCAGAAACAATGACCGTGACAAGAAGATTAATGACAGTCATACTAGAATGTGTACTTTAGCCAAATTTTAGAATTGATATGTGCTATGTCATTCAATATGGTAATGTGAGATATGCATTTACTGAGTGATTTGTACACCTATTGTGGAGGCTAAAACAATAAAATTATGTATAAACAGATGCTAAAGTTATTTAGAATAAACAGTTGTTTCTTGTTGCAATCTGCAGTCATTCTAGAAAGAATAAAAACGGTAATTTTAGTTTGGATTTATTTCATTTATTATTACTATATGGAGATTGCAAGGTTGGTCAAGTTGACCGAGTCTGTCCAGAGTTACGGTAGCGAAAATAACAAAATGTTAAAGTTTTACTGGAAAAAAAAATGTTTATTAAGGAGATTTTAGGGGTTATGCAAATGAAACTTAAATTTTTAAATGAAGAGTTTTTTTTTAATCTTAACATGAAAAAAATCACCTTTCACTTAGAGCAGTCAACACTTTGATTCAATATATTCACAGACGCATCTTTAGTAAAAATACTTAATTAAAAGATCTGATTTTTAATGTATGAAAGACTTGTAACACTTACTGAAGCTTGAGAAATTTTGTGAAGATACACAAAACATATTAAAAGTTATACTGTGGAAACTCTGGTTACATCAAGGTTACAAGATCAGTCACACTGACTGACCCCATTTGGAAAATGTGAAAAAAAAATCATACCTGTTCCATGGAGGGATGAAAGACTTATTTTTTATAGATATTGGTGCATTATGTTCCTGTACTGTCGCAGGAAGAAGGAATTATTTTAATAGAAAAACAAAATAAATGCCTTTAACTGTGTAAGTACTGAAAGATTCTGATAGTCATGGACAACTCTTGGTATTTTATAATTTTTTGCAGGTTTTTATGAATGCGTGTGTTAATACTCCTGTGACAGAAGTGGAAAGACGTACTGGTTCTGTTGCCATCGATCGACATTCGGATGCTCTCCTAATTGATCCCCAACTTTTTGCTACAGCAATTTCAGTTTGGTCTGTATGGGAGAAAATCGATGCGGATGTGTTGAAAATGTTCTTTGTTGTGATGGAAGTTCTTGTGAGAGAAAAACATCCACACCAGATGTTCAACATCAACCAGATGCTGTCTGTACAAGTTTTTGATAAACTCTTGTTAATGTTGAAGGTAGAAAGCAATCACTTGCAAAGATAGTTAAACTAGTTTAGGTGTGAATATTTAAAAACATCTAATTTGTATATTAAACCTTGGGAGACGTGTATAGTCTATTGTTTGTAGTTTGTTAAAGCATGTTCGTACATTACTTATCAAATATTAAAAGTCAATTCAACATCAAATTTTGAGGCTTAGAAATGCTCATCTTTTCTGAAAGAAAACAGACTTTAGTGTTTGTGTAATGACAGAATGGAATATTGGAACATCTTTATTTTATTTACTCTTTCTCAATACAGGAAAAGTTTATACATCTAGAGAATGGGAATTTATCGGTGGACGTTGTGAATTCAATGACAAGTGTTATTTCTTACTTATTGAAAAGCCCACCAGACTTAGTGTTGCTGACCTCCTTGTGTGACTCCATACTTCTCCTGCACAGAGCTACAAGCACTTATGTCTGCCATGCTAGAGCATCGTTCTATTTCCTTATTTCTCCTCATGCACAATCTCGTAAGTAGATAAAAAATTATCAGCTTCCCATTGTTTCCATTATATAAATCTTGTTGTCTGCAGTTGATCTCTAAAGATTTTATTCGCTTTCTATGAAAGTTTGTTAAGTGTCTAAAATTGACTAAGATCAGCAATGTTAAGACATTTTGTTCTGTAGCAGACCATCATCACTCTTTTCTGAATGTAAAGTAAAAGGTGTTTCAGGATGGATTTCAGCCAATACTAAATTTTGTCAGTCCATCTAGACTCACAACAGAAGACTTTCTGAATTACTGTTTTATGCATTGTTCCAAATTAAACTTAGTGATACTAAATGTTTAAACTGGTGAAGCATTAAATCCTCTTAGAATGAAAAAAAAATGGGATGAAAAAGAATCAACACTTTCCACATGGGCTCGGTCGAATCCACTGACTTTGTAACCATTTTGTACTCGTTACACTTTATATACTATACCTTTTAACATTTGTATGATCTATAAAACATAAGTTATTTTTCAGTAAAACTTTAAATTTTATGTTATTTCCTCTACCCTAACTCTTGTAACCACCAAAAAAAAAAGAAAGAAATTGAAATCTAAATTACACCTTTTTTTTTCATTCTAGAATGACTTCAAATTGTAACATGAAACTACATTTATTTATTCTAAGAAGCTTTAAATTCATAACAGTATACACCTACTTATACTTAAATTTCATTGTTTTATTGTCTTTTAAACTGTGTAAATTAATATTCCTACCATAAAACTTGGAAATCAATTAACAAACGTACACCTCATGTTACCCTGTCGAATTACATAACACGTGGGCTAGTCGAGAGTGTACCTCATAAAAATTTTTTTTTATTATTTTACTTTATCTAGCCTAAAAAGTTTCTAACTTTTACATTTTGATTATTTTTATAATAATAAATTAAGAATAAACATTAAAAACAAGAAATAAAATACATACCTGGGTTTTCTTTTTTTTTCTTGCTGTTGACTGTTGATGATGCTTAACCTTACTTTTTTATACTAAGGGTACTACTGCACTAAATGTTTTATTTCATTAAATAATGCATCAAAGAACACAGAATAATAACATTCAAAAAGCAGACAATGTCCCATAACTATCACAGTTTTTCAACTGTAACAAGAGCCAATAAAATTTCAGCTAAGCTCTGTGTTTCTCGCAGGAATAAAGTTTGACATGGAAGTGAAATAGGCAGTTCTCTGTACAAGATACATTGTAATATGTAATGTCATTTAATAGATTAAAATTGGCTTTCTATTGGTTATAAGTAATATAGTATTAAATGTAAGAGAACTGTTGGCAATTTGTGAAAGAAAAGATGTGCCAAGTGGAGTCTGTTAGCTAATTGTGTTTGCCTAACTGTCTTTTATTTGGATCTAGGATGCATAGTTTCTACAACAGAAGAAAAGAAAGTAGATTTAAAACCTGGTTCAGCTCCTGCTTCTTCAGGTCATGTGGACTTGTGTGGTGAGAAGCCAAAGTTTATTGTTTTAGACTTTTATTTTACCTAAACTTTGGTATTGTTAATAGAATATCCACAGACATTAAAAATTTAAACATGTTTTTTGTGTAAAGCATCATCAACTTGATACATAAGTGGGAAGTAGAGAACAACTAGATGAAAGTTGTGATTAATTATTAGCATGCTTGTGCAGTCTTATGACAGTTGGCAGAGAATGTACCAGGTCTTCCTGTCAATCAGGTTTTGACTATTTCTGGGAGGAGAAAATTTGTCTAGTGGCAGTCTCGAACCTGTAACAAGCTTAAGAAGATGGCTGCACTACATTGATTGCTGTGTTACTTCTTTGTTGTTGTTTTAAGCTGTAATGTGGATCTGTATGTATAGTGCTGACACTGTCATTAGTCATTTCTCCTTTATTTAGTTTCAAAGTGTTAATTACCCTTCTGACTTTAACATGTTTCATGCAGTAAATGTTTTGTATGATAATATGTCTAGTGGATGAATAAGTGTTAAGTTGTACAGGTTTATATGAACTAAGAACCAATCAGTATTGCAATTAATCCAACTGAAAACTTCTGGGGGTGTCTGCTCTGTATTTTAATAAAAAAAATAAGTGATTTGACACAATTGTTTTGGTCAGTGGGTGTTATAAGAAGCAAAGACATAGTTAGTCAATATGATGCAATATGTGAGCCTCAGTGGTAGTGAGCAATATAAACAAAATATGAAGATTAAAGAGCATTATTACAGAGTATACTTTGAGTTTTTTTATATTTGTGAAACCGCATACAAATTGAACTAAAAATTCTCTTTAGATTCTCCTAATTTTTCCTTCATGTCTTGAGAAATTATATAAACATTCATCTATTTACCCCCCCCCTTTTTTTCTTGTTCTTTGTTGGTTCTGAACCACTCAGTAATCTGGAAGTTAGTTATTTACCTGTAGATATCTCTCTCTTTTTTTTTACATACATTGTCAACCTCTAAGGATGTGTTTTTTACTTCTGTTATATTTCACTTCCTTCTTTTTTTTGTAGTACGGGAAGTGTTGCTATATTAAATTTTGTGAATGAAAACAAATGAATATGGGCACATAAATACTTTGATACTATATTTTCAGATGTAGAAGAAGGAGACATAAATGCTAAGGTAGGTGAAAGAAGTAGCAACTTTGTTACAAATTCATCTGAACCTGTGCAGTTAACAAGTTCGAGTGAGCATTTATCAACAGTTTGTGGTACTGTCCAGTCTAAGAAGCAGAGGAAAGCCCTTACAAACTTGAGAATAAAACAAGGTTCCAGTGGAATGGAAACATACAAAGAACATGAAGTTTATCAAGAACAAATAATCCAGAAACATGGAAAATGCCACCAGGAACAAACTCAACATGACACTAGAAAAGAGGACCATCAGAAGGATGTGATGCAAGACACTAAAAGTGAATGCTATCAGGAACAAACTCAACATGACACTAGAAAAGAGGACTATCAGAAGGATGTGATACAAGACACTAAAAGTGAATGCCATCAGGAACAAACTCAACATGACACTAGAAAAGAGGACTATCAGAAGGATGTGATACAAGACACTAAAAACGAATGCTATGAGGAATACATTTCAGATGATCAAGAAAATATTTCAGAAGATTCTGAACAGGAAGGTTATCAGGGGCAGGTGATGCAAGGCTCTGAACAGGAAGGTTATCAGGGGCAGGTGATGCAAGGCTCTGAACAGGAAGGTTATCAGGGGCAGGTGACGCAAGGCTCTGAACAGGAAGGTGATCAGGGGCAGTTGATGCAAGGGTCTGAACAGGAAAGTGATCAGGGGCAGGTGACACAAGATCCAGAAAAGAGAAGTTACCAAGAAATTACAAATAAAGATTCTCTGTCAGAAGCTCATGATGATCGAACAACACAGCACTGTGAAATGGATAGTCCTCAAGATCATGGAGTATCAGTATCTAGGCTTGAGAATTATCAAGTTGATCAGTATGAAAATGATGAGAAATGGAAATTGGAAAAAGGGGGTTACAATGAAATGATAAATTGGTATTGTGAAGCAGAAGGTGAAGATGTTCAGGGTCAGAGTAACAGTCAAATTCAACAGCCTGAAGACTGGGTTAGTGAGCAATTTAAAGATGAAACCAACAAATCTCTTGGGGCAGACCTACATTTAGAGGTCAAAGAAGTTTCTAATTTGGACAGATCTTGTCGGAAGGCTTCTGATAATACGTCTCTTGAAGATGTCATACAAGATAAAAGTTCTGCTTCAGAAATTACCCAAGATTTAAAGTTTGATTCTTTTTTTACTGCTACTTGGCTAGATAATAAAAATAATAATCATTTGATAGATGATGGAACATTTGGAACAAGCTCTCTGTCTGCAGTAATTGACACAGATGATTTACTTATTGACCCAGTTAGTTTCAAAGAACAGAGTCCTAAGGACGATAATGACATGCGTGAAGATCAGTTTTTTACGAAGATCGAGTCAAAGCTATTAAAAGACTGTGAAATTAAGACTGATGACATGAAAGTCTTTTGTACAAAAGGCACTGAAAGAGAAGGAAATGGAAATCCTGAAAACTCCGTGTTGTTAGAAAAGTCCAAAAAAAAGTGTGAAACACATGAAACGGATGAGAAGTCTATCACTACGCTACTAAATGAATTTACTGATTTAATGGTCGCTGAAAACAACTGGACATTAATTCAGAGTGATATGATAAAGAATGAAGATGACCACATGTCTATAGGATCTAGTGTAGAGATAATTTCTGAACCTGAACAGGACCAAACTGAAGAATGGGAAGTAATTTCAGATGTGGAAGAGAATGGATTTGATTTTGACAGCCTTACAGCTGTGTGTGTAGGTAAGTTTGTTATGCTAAAAATATAATCAGAATATTAAGATTTATGTCATAACTGTAAATACTTTTAGAGGATTAGGAAAGCAGCCACTAGTGTTGATATATTAAGAGGTTTAGGTATGTTAGTTTTATTGATATCTTAAGTTCAGGTAAGTTGCTAGTTGTGTTGCAGTTTTAACTCTTTTCCATACTATAACTTTTAATGTTTTCCCTATCTTCATGAAATCTCACAAGCTTTCAGTAAAAATTATAGGTCTCTTGTACACTAGAAATCAGATTTTTTAGTTGAGTATTTTTACTAAAGATTTGTCCCATGAATATATGGAGTGTTGACTAGTTTCAAGTGCAAAGTAATGTTGAAGTTAAGATTTAAAATATTCATTTGAACATTTTCCAAGTTTTGTTTGCATAATTTCTAAAACCTCCTAAATAAATATCAAGCTTTTTTTTTAAGTAAGGCTTCATATTTTATCTGTAATTTTCTCCACCTTAACTCTTATACCAGTGGTTCCCAACTTGGGGTCCCAGGACCCCTGAGGGGCCGCGTAGGTAATACCGTCTCATTAAACAAGTAAGTTTTTTAATACTGACGTTCTTTTTAACTGCACACTCAGTTATATCTTTTTTATTTGATAGTGAAAAGTGGGAGAACGAGTTAATTATTAGTTAATAAAAACAGTTTGTTGGGTAGGTGGAATCTTTCAAAACATGGGGTCTGTGGGGGAAAAAATGATGATAAAAGGGGTCCTCGGTGGGGCAAAGGTTGGGAACCACTGCTCTATACAGACTCCCATGATTTTACCACCCTTGTAACCACCATAAAAAAATATGAAATATATCTAAATTACCTTTATACTTAATTTTATTGTCCTTTAAACTTTGTCTAACTAATAAGCCTCCCATAAAAGTTGTAAATTACTTGTAACTTTTTACAACAAGATTACTAAAAATTGATAAATTAAAAAGGGGGAATAGGGATTGTCAAAAAACACAAAAACAAGATAGGCAGCTTAAAGTGAAAATGCAATTACAAAAAAAGTAAACAAATGAGTTTACAGTTTGAGACTTTGTATTGACATTATTTCCTCAAGCTACAAATTCCTATTTTGATTCCATGTCTAAAACCTGTAATATTTTTGGACAATCCCTATTTCCTCTTTTTAAATTAACAATTTTAAAAAATCTTATATCCTTATTTTGTTTTATGTCCATCATGGACATACGTCTGTATAATACCAATACTGTTTTAATTCAAACAGTTTGTTTTATGAAATACATAGTAGGTGTATAATAATGGTTGGAGATGGCTTGAATGGGTAATGAAGAAAAACTTTAATGTAAGTTTAACATAACAGCAAATGTACAACGTTTCGACAAGGTTTTTTCATCATCAGGTGTATGATGTTCTCTCTGAAAACAGTGACGATCTTTGGATTGGCTTCATGCAGATTGCTGGTTATTTCTCGTGATATCATTGATAGTGGTACTGCATGTATATGATCACTATATTGCATGGTGACTAACATACCACATGTTGTGTATATGCTTGTAATATTTATATATATCATATATGACAATAATGATCTAAGTTTCTAAATCTTCTGCCTTTGATAACTTACCTACCACCCCTTTCTGAAGTATGGAGTTTAACATGAAGTGATAATACTACTAGGTAGTCAGATAAATTTAAAATCTACCCTACACAATGAACAGTGATGTATCTAATACTATAAAACACTGCCTGTCTGTGTCTCCCAGTCACACAATGATGTCATAGCAACTTATTATGTAATTTAAGTAGTTTGGCTTCCTGTCAATTAGAACTGAGTAGTCTGACTGATAAAAAAATCTAAGATATATTTGGAATAAAATGGACAAAAAATTGCACCCTTCTTTGGAATTTGTAAAAATATCTTTGTTAAATTGTCGAGTTATGCCAGAAAGGATGTAAATATACTGAAGTAGACATTTTGTACAACCTATAAAAAGTTTTTAAAAAAGGTCTAATGTTACGTCGTAGAATAATATTAGAAGATTATTTATTGATAGTATTAAGTGCGGTAAGGTTTAGCTCTAATTGAACTCAAGCAAAAAATGTACTCAAGTTAGTGTTAATTTATCTCTATCAAATATAGACTGTACTTAATAAAGGCTTAATCAATATTAGGACTAAGACAACTGGACTTGTAGATTTCAGTGTCTGTGATTAGAATTATTTAGTATTACTCTACAAATCCTGTATTTAAAGAAGTACTGTTACAATAAAGTTACTAAATTGGCTGCAAATGTTTTGCAGGTCTCTGCTAGTTTAGTAATATTGCCCAGGTTTTATTACACTAATCACACCTATTTTTGCTGTAGGCTGGTTGAACAATATTAAACAAGGAACAAATTGATCCTTATTATGAATCACTACTGTGGTTAACGATATTGAATGATTCTGAGTTGTACATTTTAGTTACTTTTATAATAAAGAAATATATATATATATATATAACAAGAAATGCAGTACTTACCTTTGGCCTCTTCTTGTTTTGCCTGTAACTTGCCAATGAAATTTAAGCCTAATTTTCTATACTAATGGTATTTGTACACTAAATCTTTATTTACTTAAGTACATATAATAACACAGAATAATAACACAAAACAAACAATGTCCTATAACTATCAAAATTTAACTGGCTTTCTAACTATGGCATTAGAGCCTTAAAATAATTCCCAAAGCTTCTGAATATGAAAACCAAAAGAGAAACATTCAAACTGAAGACAAAATAGACAGTAGTTTGTACTGAAAATGACATAATTTAACCATCTCACCATAGATATTATTTTTCTGTGCATGTTATGAAGTTTGTGTGTTAAATGCAAAATTTAATTAAACTATTTTATTATCCTGGTATACAAATAAACTTGGCTTAAAACATAGTTAATAAATCAAATTTAAATGTTATATACGTTTTACGTTCATAATTTTTTAAGGCAATATTAAAAAACAAATACCCAATTCCCCTAGTATGACTATTGTGACATTTGCTCTCTAGGTATCTCTTTTTCTCTAATTTATTTACGACCTCTCCAAGAAGTATGAAATTTAATGTAAATTACTCGTTATAATGTTATCTCTCGTGGAAGGCATAGCTTTTATAGCCTTCAATCTTATCTGATTACAGAGCCATAAACTAGAAAATTGGACCCCTCTTGCTGTGCCTACCTTTTACATCTTTTTTTATCACAAATTGCCAATTGTTCCCCCTGATGTTTAATACTATAGTATTATGTTATGATGTTTTCTGTAGAGAGAATTGTCTACTTCCCTTGCAGTTCAAATCTACAGGAAAAACATTGAGTTTAAGTGAATTTTTTTAATGGCTTTTATTGCATAGTTAGAAAGCCAGGAAAATTGTGATAGTTATAGGACATTATCTGATTTTTGCATGTTATTACTCTGTTCTTTGGTGCATTATTTAATTAAATAA